TCGGGAGGATACTTTATAAAACAAGGTAAATTTTTTTTTTTAATTTTTTTTTTATTTTTACACACATATTTTGGTTTATCTTCCTTCTACAATCATTATCTGAAAATTAATGACTCAACTTCAAAGTCACCCTGTATATGAATTGTGCTTAAATGTTTTTAAAAATAATGAAAAGTTCAAGCGAAATTGTGATATGCATAATTATGATACAAGGACCTGAAGTAATTTATATCTAAACTTCAGCAAATCAAAAGCGGCATTTCGATCACCTAATAAAGTTCGTCCGCTTCTTTTTAGTAATTTACCGTGCCACACTACCTCGGTTAAAAATATTAACGACTTCAAGTTCCAGTTGCAGCAATTTTTGATAAACAAGTACTTTTATCGTGTTGATGAATTTTTGAACATTGCAATTTGAGATTAGTTGTAGGTTTGTAGCGAACGAAGAATTGACAATTCCAATACAATTATATATTGTCTGTATGGAAATAAATGTTATTGATTGGTATTTATTGATTATGATTCGAGTGTCATGCACTGAAGTGTTTAAATTCATCTGTCTACATTGGTCGCAAAATAAATGGCGTTACTGCGTCAATTTGGTATCTGCGTGTTGGATACGAATTGAATGTGTTAATTCTAGGCATCAAACAACGTATCTGCATTACCGATGATGAGAATTCAGGCTAAATATTTTGCTGATACAGCAACATTAATACAAATAGTAAAATGTTTTTTGTTAATTATCAGTACACAGCATGCTGGTATATTCTGATCGCTACCAACAACACAAAGATCCAATTACACAAAGTAATATAGAAAAAAACCTAGTAAATTTATTACAAGGACTTCCTAGGTATATGTTTTTTTAGGTTAGGACAAAGGACTATTGACAAAAGTGATTAAGCGACAGTTGAGTTTGTAGCTACAATTGCCATTTGCCATACAATGCGAACAGGTGCTTTAATATGTTGATTATTCCTAGAGCGAAAAATCGAGAAAATTTTCAACAACTTAACAAGTTTGATAAGGGGCGAATAGTGGCTTTTTGTAAGGCTGGTTGGTACTTCGAGAAATAGCCACCCGAGAGCATAGAAGTCTAGATACGGCGTTAGAAGTACGGCCTTAGTATTTAGGCTCTACGGGACCACTTCTAGTCCACAAGGAGAGGATAGAAAGCTTATTAAATTGTGGATCATTTATCGACGGATCAACAGTTTGGACTTACTTCATACCATCCTCTGACCTACATGCCTCTCACTCCTAAGCACCGATGTGATGGACTGGCTCTCCTACGTTAAAAGGTTTGACGTTTTAGTGGTACTATGACTATGTGAGTAACTATTCAAATCAAGCGCTGCGCGGTTGAGGGCAAGCCTTAGTTTATCAGTCGCATCAAAAGTCATGCTAAAGGCTCAGATGGCATCACAATTGATATGATCCGTATAATACATAAGCATTTGCTCAAGTATATTACCTTCATTATTAACTTTTGTATAACAAATAATCTTTATCCCTCTTCCTGGAAGAATGCTCTTGTTCTCCCTCTGCCTAAATCTAATTATCCTTCAAGTTTTTCTGATCTTCGTCCTATAAGCATTTTACCAAGTTTATCTAAGCTTTTGGAAATGGCTCTACATGAGCAGCTGCACACATTTGTTTGTCAAAATAATTTACTGACCACCTCCCAATCTGGCTTCAGACCATTGCATAGCACCACCACTGCGCTCCTGTCTATGTATATCGGATAATATTTATAGCGCGGCTGATCAAGGAAAGCTGTCCTGCTTAGTTCTTCTTGATTTTCGCAAGGCCTTCGATACGGTTGACCCAAATATTCTCTGTAAAAAGCTTAGATACTTTGGCCTGTCATCATCGGCTTGCACGCTGATTAAGAGCTTTTTAACTGATCGCTCACAGTCTGTCATATATGAAAACAATATATCAACTTCTTTATTCAGAAATTTTGGTGTCCCTCAAGGATCTATTTTGAGTCCCCTTCTATTTGCTCTTTATATATGTGATTTTCATGAAACCGCCAGCTACTCAATCGTTCATCATTACGCCGATGATACCCAACTTTATAACTGCTTCGATCCTGATGAATATATGCTTGGCCAACATCAAATCATTCAAGATCTGCAGTCTATTTTTGACATATCTAGTGCTCACAATCTAAAACTAAATCCTGGCAAATCATGCTGCATTTTATTTGGGCCCAAAAAGAATCGTGAAATAAATCAATATCGCATTAGTATTATGGTGAATAATGAAGACATATCCTTCGTAAACGAATGCAAAAACCTTGGTATCTGGTTTGACTGCAAGCTACGCTTCAATAAACATGTTAACCAACTATGCAATGTGTCCTATAATGTGCTTCGTCAGTTATACCCGAGTCGAAGTGTCCTGTCGACACAGCTCAAGCTTAAACTTTGCGAGTCCCTTATCCTGTCAAAATTATCTTACGGTGACTCTGTTTATGGACCTGCTCTTTTACAACGTGATGCCGAGCGGATTCAGATGATACAAAACTCATGCATCAGATTTTCTTATGGAATCCGTAAATTTGATCATATTAGTAGCGCTTTTGACAAATCGGGATGGTTTAAGATGAACAAATTGAGGAAACTGCATTGCCTATCTCTGGTACATAAAACCCTTATCCTTAAAGCGCCATATTATCTTTATACAAAACTAAGCCTCCTCTGCCAGTACGATCAAAGATCCTCTAGGAATAAACTCATCTTACTTATCCCGCGGCATTCGACAGCATTGTTCACACGCAGTTTCTCGTACTGGGCACCCAAACTATATAACTGCTTATCAAGTGAGTATAAAGAATATAGCCTAAGCAATTTTAAAAAAAGGTTAAAGATGAGTTTAAAGCAGTCGGATGGCTAAAATTTTACTTTATGCATATCCACAGGTAATTGATTGTTTCCTTTCTCTGATAAGTGTTATATTCTAAGTTTTTTTCTCTCTCTCTATAGTTTGTGACAATGTTTTTCAGGTCGGGTTGAAAAACAGCATAAGCTGACACTCCACCTTTTAGTCAGTGTTCCTTTTAAACCAATTATTTTGTAATCGTGTGACGAATAAAGGCCATTTATTATTATTATTATTATTATTAACAAGTAGTTTTTGAAAACAGAAATTGGCACATTCCTAGAGAAATAACGTAGTTAATGAGCATCCTCAAGACCCTGTTGACACTCAGCGAGTGTTTTTGAGTATTCAGAACGATACCGCCATCCTCGATACTACCATCAGAGCAGCTTACGACTATTTATATTGGGCAAAAGCCGTCTGGATGGACGCAGTAGAAGACGTAAACACTTTGTACTTTGTACTTTGTGCTATTATGACTATGTGAGTCACTATTCAAATCAAGCGCCGCGTGGTGTGTAGGTTAATCTAGGTTATTAACAAGCCGCTTTTGAAAACGGAAATTGGCACATTCCTACAGCAATAACGTAGTTAGCGAATTATTGTTAGTTTGCTATGAGCATGCACCCTACTAATACTCAGCGGGTGTTTTTGAGTATTAAGAACGTTACCGCCATCCTCGATACTTCCATCAGAGCTGCTTAGGACTATTTATAGTGGGCAAAATCCATCTGGATGGACACAGTAGAAGACGTAAACAACCCCAAATTTGAGAAGAAGTACGGAAACTTGTGTTTTAGAATCGAACAGCGACAACTTCAGGCAGTAATTACAAATAAAACATGTGACGGAGCAATACCCGAAATGCGCTACCAAATAAATGGTATTTTTCTTCAATTTCCTTTATACGCTTTTGGTGCTGTCTGACCGGAAACTCACTTTGTTATTTTAAACGCAGCTGTTTCTGTCGTAGCTTTCTTGATATCCTATACGTTTAGTTTGCTCAGTTAGTCGTATGCATCCGACTTAATACAGCATTGCATAGGCCGCCTGATACAAATACATTTTTGAAGTCCTGTATAAAAAAATAAAATTTTTTTTTCATACCACTCTTTTAATATACCATGTATACACACAGGTATTGCATATGTTAGGCCATATAACTTTTTTGAATAACTTTTTTCGTAGATAAAAAGTTGGGTATCTATTTGTAGCGGGACAACCTGCATGTTTTTTTTACCTTAGTATGGACTGTATTTTCTAGAACCACATACTAACAAATAGACCGAGGTGCTATAATATTGTGCATGTCACATTTTCGCCACTAGAGAGAGATGGTACGAGATTTTCGATATGGTTTAAGCTATGTCCTATTGGCGTTGAGACGGCTGAACTGGGACCTCGTGTGGAATGCCACATCTGTTTGGGAACGTATGATGGCCGTAAAGTGATGAGAAGGGGACGAGGTGAAAAATGAGATTCTCAGGTTGTTGCTTATAGAAGCAGGTCATCTTTCCAACAATATAATGCGCGGTCACGTAAAGCCAGAATCTCTTTGATCCATTTTGAAGGCAATCAAGACGATTTTTTGCCTTGGCCCTGATATCTTCCAATCTTTCTCCCCTTGAATACGCCTGTGATATAATGGTTTACCCATCCTTCACAGACTTCAGCGGTCCAAAAAATTATTTTCTTCCATTTTGATTAATTACTTACATACGCACAAGATATTGTTGTGATAAGTTCATTATTGCTAGTTGTTTCTTTTTATGTCACTTGGTAGACTATTAATACTTGGTAACATGCAGAAGTCACCAGTCACCTTGAGTTTTTTTCAAAGAAAATCATCATGTCTGGATCGACCTTGACACTACTGTCCAATCATAAGCTGAAGTTGGTTTCTTTCAAAGGGAAGTATCCTTTGGATCAGGATATGTGGTCTTGTACTTCGACCTTAGGACCATCAAGCTTGCCCTCATTTCGTTACTGAATAAAGGTAATTGATGACACTACGCATAAATAGCTTGCAAAATTTTGTATTCTCTAATAGCTAACTCAGGTTATCCCTCCGTAGCGCACAGCCTTATTGCTATATTGAAAATCCAACTTACCTTCAGTGGAAACCCTTTGGTCATGCCTATGGCATATGTGTCCTCATTGATGGTATCTCCGATCTTCTGTAGCTTGCAACCATGATCAGTAGCTCTATAATAATCCAGAATGGGTGTGTCCGCGATGAGGATATCGAGGCTACCATTACGCAGTCCCACCACACCTTCGTCGATGTTTTGCAAGGAGTACTTCCGCATGTGATGCCATAACAGCTGATTAGCTTTTTGAATGTAGTACTCTGCTGCTGAGGAACGTGGAGTACCCACCTTCTGATTCAGCAGCTGTGGAGAAAACGTAAGTTTGAGAATCAATAAGATATATAAATTTTTCAGACAGTCATACACCTCGAAGCTGCTTTAATACGGCTGATTATGAAGTTTAAAAAGCATTTAGGATAATGGATAGCGTGGTACTAAAATGTGTAGATAAGTTAAAACAAAAGCTCTTTCACACCCCCTCGATATCTGCTGTAAGAGCAAAAATCCAGAATTTCCATAATGGCCGAAGACTGACTGCCGTATCGTTTGATACATGCACATACAGGGTGGCGCATCGAAAACGAAACAGACGCATTTGCTGGCAGCTCAGTTTTTTTTTGGAAAAACGCTCAGACCCATCGATTTTGTTTTCGAGTCGACTCAAGTTTGGTATATAATCATGTTAACACGTGCAGTCCCCTGGGCGGGGGTGACACCAACCCCAAAAATCTTAAGTGGAAAGGGGGGTCGAGTGATACATTATTTTAAAGGTCTTTCAATTCCCCTTATAGTGATGTAAAATACATGAGCTTCAGTTCAGTAGTTTTGAAGATTTATTCATTTAAAGCTTAAAGTAGACTTTAATAGGTACATCAGATCTGTTTGTACTACTTTCAAAAGAAATTTGACTAAAAGAATTTACTTAATAAGTAAATGCTCTTCTTCACCATGGGCGAATGGTTTGATTATCATTTTGTTGTTGAAAATAGCTATTGGAGCGTTTTTTTGTGGCAAAAAAGTTATTTCTTGAAGAAAGGTAGGGAAATATCTCGTACTTATTTCAAATAGGAGTTTAGTACATACTTTGCGATTGATTTGACCAAACTTTGTTGCTAAAATAACTTGTAACGCTTTATTACATAAATTAACCATGTTATATTTCACAGCAGAAAGAGTTGCAATTATTGAAATATTTTTCGGAAATAATCAGTGCGCTAATACAACAGCAGAAATATTTAATGAGCGAGATGAGAACAGTAACGTGCATCGAAAATATGTTCTAGAACTTGTAGCTAAATTTCGGGAAACTGGGTCAGTCGCCAATAAACAACGCAACATTGAAAATTCCATAAGGAACGAAGCAATAGAAGTGGGGGTTTTAGGGCAAGTTTATGTAGATCCTACGTTAAGTACCCGCGAATTGGAGACTGTGTGTGGTGTTAGTCGACGTACTATCCAACGGATTCTAAAGGGCCATAGTCTTCATCCGTATAAAATTCACCTGGTACAAGAACTTAATGAAGACGATTTTGATCGGTGATTACAATTTTTTGAAGATATGAGTGAACGAATTATAAACGATGAACATTTTCTATTCAACACTTGCTTTTCCGACGAATGTTCCTTCTTCTTAAATGGAGTATTAAATCGTCATAACTGCCGATATTGGTCCGATTCTAATCCCAGAATTTATGATGAGGTTCATACACAGCAGCCACAAAAATTAAATGTTTGGGCTGGTATTTTTGGCGATCATTTAGTTGGTCCTTTTATGTTACCTGGAAATTTGACCGATGAAATATATTTGGAATTACTGGAAGACGCCATAGATCCTGCATTAACAGCCATAATTGAAAAACAGAATGATCGGCGGTACATTGCTAATAGGTTGATGTTCCAACAGGATGGTGCCCCACCACATTACGCATTACGTGTTCGACAATATTGAGGTCAGACGTTTCCAGACCGATGGATTGGCAGAAGAGGTGCCATTGAATGGCGCTCAAAATCGCCAGATTTATCACCTTGGATTTCTTTATGTGGGGTCAGTTCATTCATCATTTTAAATTACATTGCTGCCAAATGTATTGATCTCCACTAATGATAATGTATTAGTTTTATTTAAGCTTTAAATCAATAAATCTTCAAAACTACTGAACTGCACATTAATTTTATATCATTATGAAGGGAATTGAAAGACCTTTAAAATAAGGTATCACTCGACCCCCCCTTCCCATTTAAGATTTTTGGGTTGGTATCACTCCCGCTTAGGGGGCTGCACGTGCTAACGTGATTTTTTGCCAAACTTGTGTCCCCCTCGAAAACAAAATCGACGGGTCTGAGCGTTTTTCAAAAAAAAAACTGAGCTGCTAGTAAATGCGTCTGTTTCGTTTTCGATGCGAAACCCTGTATAAACTTCACATCGTTGCTGCTGCACGATTAATAAAACAGACATCAGTCGACCATCGTAGAAATCACCACAAGATCTCGTGCCATCTGCGCTACAAATGTTGGCAATGATCAATGCACGAAACAAATGAGCGCACGCGAACCATGCTCCGAGATTCGCCAAGCATTACTGTTCTGCCAGTACTTAGCTTTGAAATCCACATTTCAAAAGCCTCTACCTACATCTCTACCCCATATAGAAGCACCGAGAAAACGTAGCATCCGTAATCACAAAATCAAACTACGACCCCGGCGATACAACATATGCCTCTTGATGTTGAATGCGCTTCAGGATTTTTCTATTCTAATGCTTATTTCCTTTGTGTTACCATTTGATTCTATGAAAATCAAGGAGGCGATAATGATTGACGATACGGCACTTCGTTAACTTTATGTTACGTGACAGCCTTGCCTCTTCACTTGGGACACTTTCGTCAAAATTCTCTGGAGGTTTTGATTATTTGGCAGTCTCTGACAGAATTTCCTTGTTAGAAATACCAAAATATTTTTTATAAAAGGCAAGGTATCGTTATATCTAAGGTTGCGTACAGGGTGCCACTTTATTTTTTATATCAGCTATTTCGTGTTGAAGTGATTTCTAGATGTATTGAACAAATATAGTTATAAAACACCCCTTTTAATTTATATTTTGTCTGTCATGTAATTACTTATAGATAACTATAGGTAATTGTTCTTAGTAGAGACCTATTATTCCGATTGTCTCTGTAGCTGTTTGAGTAACTGTATCAATATCAGAAATAATACAGGAATGAAACTTCAATTTATAGTTACAGCCTTAAATGTGCAAGGTTTCTGAAACTACGATACGCAAAAATCTCCATGATGAGGTTTAAAAGCTCGAACACGCCGCTTAATTAAAATCTTATTTTCACGTATTTTAATTTGGAAAGTTGCTTTTCTGGACGTCCACCTTTGGGCACAAAGTAACAATCGCGAAGCGTATGCTGAATTTCTGAAACTATTGCTCAATTTCCTCCGCCGGAGCTTTTCGCGTACGCTTTTGTTAAACTTTGGCGCATAAAAACAGTTGATGTTTTAATCGATAGGGTATGTCCTCTAAATCAGGGCTTTTCAAGCCTTTTTTTATCGTGTATAAAAGGGCGATACAAAACTTCCGTTCATTAATGCTTTTGGATATTTAAGGAAAATATTTCATAGTAGGTTTACAAGCTGACCCTTTATCTTTTTACTAGAAAAAGGTTCGATAAGAGAGTTACAGGTTTCAAAATACAGCCTATATAGCTATAGTGAGCTGAAGCTCAGGATAGAATGAATTGAGACTTGGAAACCGTATCACATTTACCTGCAGATCACAAATCTCTGTTAAATCATAATAAGTCCTCCGTTGTAGAGTTCGGTGAGAATCTTAGTTGTATTAGTAAATTTATCTATGAAAACAAAAATACATAATTACGACTCAAACAGCTTTTATTTATATGTATTTTGCTTATTTTGCCTTAAAACTTTTATATCCCCATGAAACCTATCTCACAGGTGTAACTAAAAGATTGCTATGTGCATCTCTGATCTTGTCACAATTCTCATAAGCTATTCCTGTTTACTCCTCTAGACTAGACTATGAAAGATCTACAACGAGCTAAGAACTCTTGTATACGTTTTATCATTGGTATATCTCAATATGAGATAGATTAGCCATAAAGTAAAGCCCTTGTATTGGCTGAATATGGAACACCATTTCGAGATAGTCATATTAATATTTTACCATAAATTTCTGTCTACCAAGAACCCGCCTTACTTAATAAAGTTAAATTCATTAGATCAAAGATAATATTTCGGCTCCGTCCCATAAAACGTCAGTATACAAGAAGCTTCAAATATAATATACACAAAACCTACAACTCCATCCCTTGACACCTCAAACCTTCAAATGTGTCTAGACATGAGGAAGCTGTGAGGAAACTGTGTTTTGATATACGCATGTATAGTCAACGCCAAACAAAGTGGCGTGCACGTCATCAAGGTGGGTGTGTTGAAAAATTTACATTGTTGCCAAACTTTTTGTAAAATAATAAAATTTATTATTTACATATCTAGGTTTATAAGCAATATTAACCTCAAATGAGAACAAAAATAATAGTATAATAAAATTATAGATCTGCACGTGCATAATCATTAAGTATGACAATTACTGATCAGATGACACTATGAAACTACCATATTTAATTGATAGCTTAAAGGTACTGAATAAAAATCAAAATGGGGTCCTCCAAATTTTATGCATGGTATTTATTTTACAGAATTCATTCAGAAAAATGCATTCTAAAATTAGGTAAGCTACTGGTGTAAGCTTTTTCTGTACAATAAAGTTAGTCGGAGTTTCTTTCTTCAGCGCTGTCTGAATCTGAATCTTCATCACTCTCAAAGTTGATTATTAAAGGTTCGATGTCTGGTCGATCAAAAATTCGTTCTCTTTCATACCATTTAAAAATTTCTTGCTCAGTATGTCGAACACTATTTTTCCACATGTCTGGGGTAACCGTTTGTAGAGCCTCGTTCCACATATCCAAACAGTCTTTTTCACCGTTACCATCTCTACCAATATGTCTTTTATAGTAACCTTTTGCTATGCCCCAAATTAACTCAATAGGGTTAAATATACAATGGTAAGGAGGCAGACGAAGAACTTTGTGCCCATGTTGTTCCGCCAATTCATCGATCACGTATATTTTAGGTGGTTTGTTTCTAAAAAAGCAGTTATTTTAAGAATAGGAATAAACAAAAGAAATATAAACTGTCGACCAAAATATATATAATTAAGAAGCATTATGTACCGAGCAACAATACTCAATAGCTCTGTTTTAAACATTGTGTTT